AAAAGTAAAAGTGCCAGCCTCCCCCCCCCTTCCTATGTATCACTGTGTATTAAATGTTGCAATATCTTGTGCTTAACTAATTCTTAAGATATAATCTATCTATACACATATATATCGGTATGAATGTGATGTACACCTTTTAGGAGAGGCTTTCCTCTTGATGCACGAGGTTGGGAAATCGTTTGACTCCGTTTTACAGAGAGTTTTGAATTAAACTCTGGATAAGAGTATGATAAGATGCTTGTGAAATGTCCTGTTTTAGACCATATAGATACAATCTTGGCATAAAGCTGTGTGTATATACCCATAAACTGTCCGTAAAATGTGTTCTGCCCTGCTGGAGTTGGAAAAGTCTAATGGTGCGTTAGCTCCTGTTATTGGCATGATCTTAAACATCTTCGATCATATGCCACTAAAATCTGTCCTGTTTTAAAAACGTTCACATTTTGGATATATCATAAAATGCTAATGCTAAAACATTTCATTCCTTTCAAGTTAGTACTTTTCATAGAAAGGCAGTAACTCTGTGAATGATTCCAGCAAAGATATGCTTGAGCGGAGGCATAAAAGAATATCACAAAGTACTAGAAGTTAGAAAGCAAAGAAAAAAATTAGTCATCCTTCTGTTTTGTATGTAAAAAGCAAGTCTACTAGACAAGGCACAATCTCATGAGTCCTATGGACTCCTCAAAATGTCCTATCCAGGTTATATAAGGAAAGATTTTGAATTCCAGTCTTCTAGAATATTCCAAAAATAGAATGTGTCTTATTAATGTATATATTTACCCCAAGTCATAAATAACAGTATTTATTCATTAGCAGTCCCTTGATTTGTTTCTTTCCAATAATATTATGTTTTGACAGGTCCAGATTACAAGTGTAGCAAGCCGTCTATATGTTAATGACAATTTAAAATGTTTCAGAGCATAGAAGGTCATATATGAATTGAAATTCTATGGAAAGGTTCTAAATGTGGAGCAGTCACCATGGGAACCTATAGAATGTTACTGCTAATTGCTCCACGTTTAGAAATTTGCCTCAGCACTCCCACAGTGTTCTAAATTTTGTTTTGCTCATTGAGAAATAGTTTTAGTAAGCACCCAGTTCAAACAAATGAAGAATTGATAGAATTTGCACAGAATGTATATTTGCACCAATTCACAATGTATTTGTAACTTATGGAGGCACAGCTGCAGTTTTGGCGTTTATTTTTAATGACCATTTCTAAATCTTAATATCGCTCTACTATTTCTCAATAGCTTTTTTTTTTTTTTTTTTCTTTGGGGTGGTGGTATTTAACGTGCCAATCTATTTTCCAGCAACACAGGCTACAGACTAAAACAATAAATCCCCATCTGTTGCAGGACTGCAACTCATATGTTGCTTAGCCAGTTGAAAGATTGGCAGAGCATTGTGAGAGTTTTGGTCGTACAACAGATTGGCATCTACTTCCTGGCCATTTTTTGCTTTACACCTTATGAACTGGATATGGCTGTGATGGCTAATGTTTGCACCCCATATATTTTTTAGATCTTCCCCACAATGCTCACTCAATCTGTGGCTGTGCATCATGGGAAGCGTAGTTCACAAACATCTGACGTGACTTAAGATGATTATCTAAGCCTGAAGTAGTTGACATATCTAGTTCACATATAAACTTACACTTTAAAACTAACGTGGTACTGAATTCACCGTATTAACCACATGATCAAAGGTTACATATTCAGAGTTATCCACTAACGTGTGAATTGTTTAAACATTAAACATTTTAGAGCAAAATGGGAAAGCTGTGCTTTCTGTTTGACTTAAAATTAAAAAAACAATTCATGTTCAATTCATTTAGAATTTGTGACAATTTCCACTTTAGTGAATAGCCCTGCTTCTGTCCTTTATTTTAAATAACCTTTATATATAGCTCTGTATATAAACAGTGAAGGAGTTGAGCCCATTCAAGTCAAGAGTTGGATACAAAGGTTGAAGCTCTCATCTGTCTTTTATTAAAGCTTTGGTTTCAACGGTCTCTGTAATCTACTCAAAACGCTGTAGAAATGTTTGGTTGTTAAACAAATATTGCCACTGTATTCTGATTGCTTCCTAATATAGTGAATTGTTTGTTAAACAAGTGTGAATTATGACTCTCTACATTTACCCGAATTAAGTGACTATAGGTTATATAGTGTTACACCAAAACTGTCCCTTAGATAATTACAAGTAGTGCTTCATTCAGTGTGTAGATAAAGCATGGTAGTGCACCACCGTGTGGATAATTAGTAAAATAACATTCAGTCTTACTGACTTATTGAGCAATGTACTTTATCAATTCAGTCTGTGTGTCTTTATGTGCTGGGCAATATTTGTTCATGATTAACCGCTTTCGAAATATGCCATAATTACATTAGTAGTTTGTTTGTAATTTCTTATGCTAAAGAAAAAGAGAGAACGGTCCGGTTCTCTCATTACCTTTCTAAAAGCATATCTTTTTAATAGAAGAGTACCTGACTGCAGGGAGGGGTGGTACACACGTATCTCCCGTTTTTTTTCTCTCTAAGGCATCTGGGATTTATAGTTCTAAAACAGGTATATAGGGGATACCTTATGATCTTCCCTACCGTACTCTGTTTGGGAAGCGGTTTGCTTTAATTCCAGTTCTTAATTTTTTTTTCTAATGGAGGGCAGCTACAATTCAAATCCTTTTTTAATGTTTAACCTAATCAGTGCTAAAAGGGACGCATTGCACTGGTCTTTGTAAAAGGTACTGAAAAGTTGAGACACATTTAAGCATTTAGTGTCCTTGTCTTGTTAAATTTGCACACAAACAATTGAGAACCATCGTAAAGCTAAAGTCTTTGTGCATTTGTTATGGTTCCAAACACTTTCTATACCTATTCTATCTTTCATCTCATTGTATAGTGCTGTGATTGCAGCATCCCAATGCATTGTACATTGCACTCCAAGCCTTACTTTTAAAACTAGCTTGATTAAATGTTAGAAAAAACCTATAAGGTTATTAGCAATATATAAACATAGTGTTTTGTCTCATGTCGCCCTATCCCTCTGGGCTTTTTGCCAGGTTACAGTCATTTACTTTTACGTGTCCCATGCATTTTTAAGCAGGTGGTTAGTTGATTGTTAATAGGATTTGCTTGGGGATTTATTTATTTTTTACTGTCATTATTAATAATTAAGAATTTAAGACACTTTCCCCCCCTCACCCCCCCATCACTGCTTACCTAAGGGATTTTCCTTAAATTTAAAATTGTGGATTTTTGACAAGCAAATTACACATTAGGTTCAAATTGGGAAAATTCAGCAATTATGCTACGTTGGCATTAAATTTATAACTCTTGTCATTTCTCTGTGATTTTCATAATACCGAATAATTTCATAGGAGTTGTGCAGAGCTCCATTAATAAAGATATACTCTGCAGCATTTAAGATATGGTAATACTAGAAAATGACTTTCCTGTTACTGGTCACTGAAACCAGAACCAGGACTGTCAGCTGGACAAAATATTAGTAGATAATAGATAATTAAATCAAAATTGCCATCAATATGTCGGAATATAGAGAGGGTTCATACGTAGATTCAAGTGATTAAAATAGCCTAAATGGCTCTTCTCCTGTCTAAAGGACTCTTAAACGTAAAGAATCTATTTGAGACTCAGGACTTTAATATAATCAACCATAGTATGTCCATGTCAACAGTAAAAGCGGTTGTGGAATGAGCCTTTAAATTAACTCCTGTAATCTAGATGGAAAAGACAATCAGTCAAGGAGGAACTTTGAATATTGGCTGTATATAAAGTAACACTTGTAGCAAAGCCCGCTGTATCAAAAAAGCAACAATAAGAGTGTAGTTAAGCAATCAGCAATTAAGGATAACAGCATTTAGCTGGATACCAAGTAACATATAATAAAAGGAAAAAAGTCTACATGAAAATTCGTAGATTAATCACAAAATATGTCATAAATGATAAATCTTAGGTTAGTGGTTTCCTAAATCGCTATGGGGTACAAAGAGTATCTGTTGCCCCCTCAAATACATACAGAGCCAGTCCAGATTCCTCAATCAAATAGATAATTCCAATCTAGATAGCATATCAGGAGTGACAGGAGGAAAAGGTGAAAAATTAGGAAATAATAGTGCTAATGTGTAGAACCATGCTTAGAGTGCTGGTTACCTACACATCGTGAAATAGTGCCCTAGAAGAGCCCCTGACGAAGGTGCATCACAGCACCGAAACGCGCGTCGGGTTGAAGGAGGTTTTTCTCCTTCACTTTCACTCACTTTTTATTTTCACTTCTAGGGCACTATTTCACGATGTGTAGGTAACCAGCATTCTAAGCATGGTTCTACACATTAGCACTATTATTTCCTAATTTTTCACCTTTTCCTCCTGTCACTCCTGATATGCTATCTAGATTGGAACTATCTATTTGATTGAGGAATCTGGACTGGCTTTGTATGTATTTGAGGGGGCAACAGATACTCTTTGTACCCCATAGCGATTTAGGAAACCACTAACTTAAGATTTATCATTTATGACATATTTTGTGATTAATCTACGAATTTTCATGTAGACTTTTTTCCTTTTATTATATGTTACTTGGTATCCAGCTAAATGCTGTTATCCGTAATTGCTGATTGCTTAACTACACTCTTATTGTAGCTTTTTTGATACAGCGGGCTTTGCTACAAGTGTTACTTTATATACAGCCAATATTCAAAGTTCCTCCTTGACTGATTGTCTTTTCCATCTAGATTACAGGAGTTAATTTAAAGGCTCATTCTACAACCGCTTTTACTGTTGACATGGACATACTATGGTTGATTATATTAAAGTCCTGAGTCTCAAATAGATTCTTTACGTCTAAGAGTCCTTTAGACAGGAGAAGAGCTATTTTAATCACTTGAATCTACGTATGAACCCTCTCTATATTCCGACATATTGATGGCAATTTTGATTTAATTATCTATTATCTACTAATATTTTGTCCAGCTGACAGTCCTGGTTCTGGTTTCAGTGACCAGTAACAGGAAAGTCATTTTCTAATACTTCCATTTTGGGGTTATGCCCCTTGACACCACTGGAGTGTCATTTAAAGGTGTGACTGACCACTAGGAGGGTGGTATATTCAAGTCTGGAATAACCACTACCTTTGGCCTAGTCAATTTCTACTACAAGATATGGTAATATAATCTGCTTGCATGCGTTACATATTGCTAGGATTCCCCCTGATGCGCAGTATGTTGCACAGATTACAATGTAGTAATTATTTACATCATTGTACAATATGAATTAGTGCACGCCTCACAAGTGGCTGCAAGATGTCGGATTGTTCTGACGCATGAAGGAACTTGAAAATGTTTTATTTTATATTTTCCCCCCTCTTCCTTTTCCATAAATTGCCAAAGGGGCAACTGTTATTCCATGTTATCTAGCATAGAAAGGCTGATGATTAAACATACAATACAGTTGGATTTAATACCACTTTATGTAAATCTTGCACACCATGTCCTACACTTGCACTTTTTCGGATGAGTCTGAGGCTGTCTGAACATAAATAACCGTGCCTTTTTTTTGACAAACATGCGTTGAGAAGCTGATTTGAGTTTGTGTTAATGTGCATGTGATCACAATCTTTAAGACTGCCCTCTTAATCTTTTTTTAAGAGAAGTCTCAAACCTTGGTTGTAGAACGCCATTCTTAAAGGGTAAGCTGTGCTAAAGCCTTTCCAGTTTCCCCTATTCCCTTCTGAAATTCTCACGCTGCAGAGGGTTTAATGACGCAGCAATATCCATGTACAGATACTTCCATCATCAGTGCTTGCTCTGACAGAACATCCTTACATTTATAACAATGTGTGTATACACACACAATGGAGTCATAACACTTTGTGGCATATCTTTTATAGCCATAGCAACAAGCAGCGACCTCTCAGACACAAAAGTGTGACTTCATTGATGCGTTCAACACTGAAAGAATAAAGCGCTTTATTTTTGTTTTGTTTTTGTATATGCAACTCACTGATTTTAACTGAGATCCAATGACATGTGAGGTTCTTAACCTTTTCATTTCAGCATAGCGATTTTCACATTTATTTAGTAACCATGTTGATATTAAAGGATCAGTACAGTTCAACTTGGTTAATTTTCTTCTAATTACAAATACCTTGTAAACTGGACTCTTATATTTTATATATGCACACCTGTTATTTTAACATCAATGCTTGTTTTTGTACTGTTACATTTTTAAAAGAATAGACTGTTAAATAAAAAGCTCAAAGACCAGTGTTACATAATGACGAAGAGCCAGAACCCATGACAAAAATGAATGTGAATAAGCCTCCGAAAATATTTATATTAAAAAATGATCCATGTAATGATTTTGTATGTTGAGCAAAAAATGCAATTATTTAGCATCACTGCACACACTTATTTTTTTTTAGATGGTATGTAGGCTGTCATTGGGCTAGAATGGATTAAAATGAGAGAATTACATGTTTTTGTCTTTTGTAGCATGTTATATGTTCAATCGTGTTCACCATCTTGTTTTAATGGCTTTTTGAAAAATGAAGCACTACCACTGGTCAGTAGTTTTGTATTACCAATTAGAATAAAAACGTGATCATAATGCAGCATTGTCTGTCTCAAGCGTGTGAATTTCTACACTCTATTTTATAAAATACCACATGTCAAGTTTTAATATGGTATATGGACCTGGGCATTTAAACCAGGCTAAATTAATTCCTTGGTAAACTCTCTGGTGAATGATTAAATATTTGTATGGGCCAGAGGACAATGAAAAACACCGGGGGATCTAAAAGGGATTATATGATACACAGTGATCTGGGGTGAGTAGAAAGGGTGGAAATTTGCAGAAAGGTATGAAAGGGTCATGCAAGGAGAAATGGAGGCAGATACACCTGACCTAGGATCCCATACTGTGAAGAATCAGAGAACAGAAGGGTTATGACTAAAATGGGGACATGATAGTGGTGTAAAAGCATTTTAATAGATATAACCCCAAACATGCATGCATTTAATTCTGTGGGGTTTTTTTCATTGGGGCTTTATCTAAAATCTAGATCTCTAGCCTGCCTTTGCAAGCCCTCCCATTCTAACCCCGCCCAGACTTTCTGTGGCTGTCCAATCACAGACTCCCCAATGCAGCTCAATGAGAAGTCTTTGCAAGGTAGGTGATCTGAGCAATTGCTGCCTCTTGAGTTTAGTTTAACTGAGTTAAACAAACCAGGAAGTAACAGGACAAAACTGGTTGTCTGACAGCCAGGTTGGTGTAACAAAACGTTACTATTGTCTATGGAAATCTACACTATGTAAAAAGTAAAAAAACAAAAAAAAAAACCTACACTTACCACATAAAGCTTTTGAACAAGCAAAAGTGCCTTAAACACAAGTGTTTTACCTCAAAGAGCAGCCATTGTATATAGACAGATTGCTATTTGGTTTGCTTAATCAATGCAAGAATAGATCATTTTATGAAAAATGTCTGGCATTAAAATTGCTTGTTACACAAGTTTACACAAGGTTCCGATTGCATAGTATGATCAAAATAATAATCTATCGGACCACAGCACACTGTCCACTTTTAGCACTGAGCAAAAATAGTTGATCTGAAAATATTCTTCAACTTGGCCATAGCTGCAACTTGACTATTTTTACCTTAGTCTTGCCATTCAGATTTAATTTGTGATTTTAATAAATAACCCTGTCTGTGGTTAATAATCACCTTTTTGTCTCATTATTCCATTTTAAACATGGATTCCTTGGAGTTTATGTATACAGCAAATATAAACTCCAACGAATCCATGTTTAAAATGGAATAATGAGGTAAAAAAAGATTTCTGTGGGGAAAGCAAGTCTTATGGCTTGATTGGTGTGCAGATCTATGTTTAACAATGTATTGACTATCCACTGACCTCAGGTGGAAGGGTTTTTCAATAACTTTTTTTCCCACCATAACTTAATTGGTTTGTATGAGTATATTCTATATATATATATACACACATCATACATCAGGCTTCCCCAAACTCCGGCCCTCCAGATGTTGCTGAACTACAACTCTCATGATTCTATGAATGAAATAGGCTGAGAATCATGGGAGTTGTAGTTCAGCAACATCCGGAAGGCCGGAGTTTGGGGAAGCCTGTCATACATAGTATACTCTCCACACCTGGATTTATCTCTCATTCTGAGTGTATTTTGATATTAAGTGGGTGCACTTAATATGAGAAAGTTAGGTTATGGCTGAACAGGCATAGCTCAAATTAAAGGTTTTGTTTTGATTCAGAACTTTGATAATTGCCTCCGACCTTAGGGGTTAGTACCCTGCAGGGGCCTTCTGTATGTGTTCAATTAACAGAGCAGGAGATCAGAACTTTTAAACCAAACACAATGTGCTGTAAGATCTGATTTAAACTCATTTTTTTTTTCTCATGCATACTGTGTTAGTTACAGCAAGGGGACATGTGCATAAACAGACACAAAGTGGTTTAACCCCATTAAAGGAAAGCTCCAGGCACCCAGACAACTTCTGCCCATTGGAGTGGTCTGGGTGCCAACTCCCACTACCCTTAACCCTGCAGCTGTAAATATTGCAGTTTTCATAAACTGCAATAATTACATTGCAGGGTTAACTCCTCCTCTAGTGGCTGTCTAGAGGGCACTTCCTGGTTTCTAGCACAGGTTTTTTTGTGCTAAAACATTGCTGGACATCCTTAATGCTGTGTGAGGACCTCCAGCATCGCTCAATTCCCCATAGGAAAGCATTGAAAGCATTTTCAATGCTTTCCTATGGGTAGGTCTAATGCGCGGATGACGTCGGCGGGGAGGAGCGGACCTGATACCACCGCCGAGGGGTTTTCACCCCTTCAGCAACATGGGATGGGTGGTGAGAGGGTACCTGCAGTGCCAGGAAAACAGTTTGTTTTCCTGGCACTGGAGTGTCCCTTTAAGGACTGAGCCAAATGTATATGTTTTGATCAAAATAAAACGTAAAAAAACTTTGACTATATGTCTGTGCACCCACACTCATTATATATCATTTTATTTAGGAGAAATACGGCTTTCATTTAACTTAAAATATTTATTTATGAAACAATTTAATATGAATAAAATGTAAAAAATTGTGAGACATTAAGAAATTTTATTTTTTTTAGGTCTGCGTGACCTTTTAACTGTGAATGTCATAATACTGTTCACTTTTACTGCAATAAAATACACATTTGTATCCAGCGATGTCTCACAAGTAAAACAGTACCTCCTGTATACAGGTTATATGGTGTTTTGGGAAGTTACAGGGTCAAATATAGCATATTAAATTTTTCACATCGCCAGATTGGTTATGTTGCCTTTGAGACTGTATGGTAGCCCAGGAATGAGAATTACCCCCATGATGGCATACCATTTGCAATAGAAGACAACCCAAGGTATTGCAAATGGGGTATGTCCAGTCTTTTTCAGTAGCCACTTAGTCACAAACACTGGCCAAAGTCAGCGTTAATATTTGTTTGCGTGTGAAAAATGCAAAAAACGTATTTGAACACCAATTTTGGCCAGTGTTTGTGACTAAGTGGCTACTAAAAAAGACTGAACATACCCCGTTTGCAATACCTTGGATTGTCTACTTTTGCAAATGGTAGGCCATCATGGGGAAATTCTCATTCCTGGGCTACCATATGGTCCTCAAAGGCAACGTACCCAATCTGGCGAATTTCAAAGTGAAAAAACTGAAACACAAGCCTTATATTTAACTCTGTAACTTTTGAAAACACCATAAAATCTGTACATCGCTTTCACTGATATCATTGTTGTAATAAATTTTACTGTTTTGAAACCCTAATATGTGTTCAGCGAAGTTTCCCGAGTAAAACAGTACCCCACCCCCAGTCTAAAGTTTTTATGGTGTCTTGGAAAGTTACAGGGTTAAATATAGTGTTAGCAAATTAAATTCTCTGGACTTTCTGCCCGGGTTATCGGGCAGATCCTGCAAATTGTAATTAATAAAATGACTTAATTATGTAAAATAATTACATAAATATATACGTAGAATTAATATATATATATAATATACATTTTTTTTAAATTATTTATATATATATATATATAGGTATTATATTTATATAGATGTATATTTAGTTCTAAATGTATTTTAATATCAATATATTAATATCAAAATACAGTTAGAATGAAATTACACTGTTTATTATTTTTTTCTTCATTTTTAACGTATTTATATATTTTATAGTAAATATTTTTATTCAATGCCTTATTGTGCATTTTTATTTATGTACCCCCCTCGCAATGGCTCTAATAATAATTTCAGCTAAGTTTTATGCCCCTGAATGCCTGCATTGAGCACAGACTGTGGGGGCATGATCTATACACCAACGCTGCTCCGTTAACATGAAGTTGTTTTGGTGCCTATAGTGTCCCTTTAAGTGTGTTTGATTGGTTCTGTATTTTTCTCTATTTTAAATTCTATTTGGAAAATATCTTTAAAAATAAATAAAACCATTAATATAGATATAGATATAGTGAGAGAGCAAACAGTGCTGCTACAAACACAACAGGTTCAATACTGGGATCTACAGGAGCAGATATTACATCATATCCACAGAGATACAATAAAACAAGCTCTCTGATTGGTTGATGCAGGTGAAGCTGTCCTGTGAGTCCCTTTATCTGATTGGTTGATGCAGATGACGCTGTTCTGTGAGTCCCCTTCCCGGATTGGTTGATGCAGATGAAGCAGTGATGTGAGTCCCTTTGTTTGATTGGTTGATGCAGATGACGCTGTCCTAGGAGTCCCTTTCCCTGATTGGTTGATGCAGATGACACTGTCCTGTGAGTCCCTTTGTTTGATTGGTTGATGCAGATGACGCTATCCTGTGAGTCCCTTTCCCTGATTGGTTGATGCAGATGACGCTGTCATGTGAGTTCCTTTCCCTGATTGGTTGATACAGATGACGCTGTCCTGTGATCCCCTTTGTCTGATTGGTTGATGCAGAAGAAGCAGTGTTGTGATTCCCTTTCTCTGATTGGTTGATGCAGATTAAGCAGTAGTGTAAGTCCCTTTCCCTGATTGGTTGATGCAGATGACGCTGTCCTGTGATCTCCTTTTCCGATTGGTTAATTCAATCTGTCGCCCTGCCGGTGAGCTTCCTGTTGTGAGTTGACATGGAGACGGACTGAGTCCGGCTGAGGAGCACACGGTAAAGCTGGGCGTGTTTCCATGGCCCCCCTCCCTCCCCCGACAGTGAATGGCTGGCCCCCAGCTGTGTTAGGACTACAAGTCCCGTGATGCCCCGGGCTCAGTCACGCATTGCATGCTGGGAGCTGTAGCTACCCGGAGACAGGGCTACAGCAGCCAAACTTTAATCAGAACCTCACCATGGCATAAAAAAAGCTTTAAATAAAGTGAGTTATCAACAGTTTGCACATTACTGAATAACCCTCCGCAGGGGACAGCCATGGCCCAGAGCGCCCGCCTTGCAGAGACTCCTCACTGAGCTGCATTGGGGAGTCTGTGATTGGACAGCCACAGAAAGTGTGGGCGGGGTCAGAAGGGGAGGGCTTATGAAAGACACTAGCTCTGCAGTTTTTGCAAGCTGTTTTTAATATATCACTCCGATTGGGACTAAGGCAGGACAGGATATACGAAAATCAGGAAGTCAGGACAGTTGGGAGGCATGTGAATGTGTCGCCCATCGTATTCCCCTGCCCTAATGTTGATGTCGGTATTCTAGAATCCGGCGTTATTGGTAGATGTAATATCAGGGAGATCTTGAAGCACGTACTTACATATATTTTGTTTTACGTTCTTTTTTTATAACCAAAAGAAACAACCATTAAAATTAAATATGTAAAGAAGAATAATGATTCTACTTAATGATTGAGAGAGAGTCAGTTACATCACATAAACATATTTGTCTCATCCAATCACCATTTTACTGCCCAGTCGTTAAATTATGGTTTGTTTGATCCCTCTCATTAGATTCCCTCAAGAAAGATTTTTAAGGAGACTTTGATTTAGCAATGGGGCAAAGGATTAACATTACAGAATGTCCCTAAAATGAAGATGTGTATATTTGTTTTCTAACCGCAACCTACCTCAATATTGCATTATATGTTATGTATTGATCAAATAATAGAACAGAATAATGAATAACCCCCAGGCATCAGGAGAATACATTTCACATTCCTGATACTCACAAACTGCCTCATACATACATTGAAATACGTGATAATTACATACATGTAATACATACATACACACTGTCTAATAAATACACACAAACTGACTTATACACACACTCACACAGAAAGTTGCCCTCCTTTGTTCCTCACATACCCAAGTGGGAGCTGGGGGCACTGATAGCAGCCCATTCAGTCAGTGTAGTATGCAGCAATGCTTGCAATTTATATTTATGGTTCCTCCCACATGCAGTACAGGAACAGAACAGGGGTCAGCACATGGAAGCTCTGCCCTCCTCTTCAAAGGATTTGGAAGTCAGGATCTTGGGAGGAGGAGCACAAGCAGGCTGAGGAGGCAGAGTTTACATGTTTGGGGCTGGGCAAGGCAGAGTTAGTTGTGGGAACGCTGGGTTTAAGTTATTGTGGGTGGGCTGATGCAGGTTTCAATCATAACATAGATGCTCTCCTGAAAGCATTTTAAAGAGCTGGGTTACTATAAGGAGGGCAGTAACAAAGACGTGAGAGCCAGCAGCTCTGTCAAAGGGGCAGGCAGGATTTGTTTGATTGTTCTCTGTGGCTAAACATGGCCCGCATATGGGGGGATCCAGAGGAGCATTACAGCACCTGCGGGCACCCTTTCTTAAAGAGCACTGTAGTCCACTGCCTAATTGGCCTAATAGAAGCGACAGCCCTGGTCTTGCTAGACCTTGGGATCCTCCATATACCAAGCCAATTCCCTGCAGCCGTCACTGGGGGATTGACACTTCTAAATGGCGGTAGCTCCGCCGAGTGTCTAGAAGTGTCAGGCGGAGGAAAAATAGAGAGTCGATGTAGTTCCCTCATTGTTTCAGTATATCTTTTGACTGTGTTGGAATTTTTTCACAAGGATTTTATCTTCCTGAAATACTAATTTTGCAGGGGGAAGGCATTCATGGTGCTTTCATGGCAGCTGCCTTATCTATTATCCTCAAATAACTCCAATTACGTATGCTAGAAATTTGCTCCAACACTGTACAGGGAGGGTTAAATTGTCTGTCCACTTACATAATTTATTTGATATAAACTTTAAAAGATCTGTGTTTAGCTAGCCAGGTAAGTATGCCAATACTATAAAGTAGATGATATTTCTTTAAATATAATTATCATATAAATAAACTATTACTCAGAAGGGATACATTATTTTTAATTAAAGGGAAACTATAGTGCCAGGAAAACAAACTTTTTCTGCCACTATATCTTTCCCCTGTGTCAAGGCATCACCCTCTGTTCAGTGACGCTGGAAGTCCTCATGCATAGCGTGAGGGCATCCAGCATTAGTTAGGCGACAAACAGTCACCTAACGATCCGGAAGTCCCTCTAGTGGCTGTTTGGTAACCCATGAAGATAATTATTGCAGTTTATAAAAAAAATGCAATAATTACCTTTGCAGGATTAAGGGTGCTGGGACACTGCACCAAGACCACTTCATTGAGCTGAAGTACTCTGGGTGCTTATAGTGTCCCTTTAAGAACTTAAAGTACAAACAATATGTGCTGCTTTCTTCACTCCCCTTATTTCTGCCAGTTTAAATTATCTTTGTGAGATGTATGTACAGTAATAAGTTCTTCACCATCTCCCTGAGATATGACATGTTCTCCACCCACTCTTACTTCTAGCTGATTTTCCCAGTTCTACACTGCATTTACATATTATTCTATTTTTTTTATTTTGTATGTTTTATGTAGGACCCTTGTTTCTTTTTTATCGTTTGTAGCATCTGCAAACAAATTCAAGACCCCTAAAAAAAATGTAAATATTGGAATATAACTTGGCAAGCCAATAGTCACACGTCCTAAATTAAGCATGCCCTCCTCAGGATTTGAACATTTTAGAGGTATATTTCAGTAGATGAGGCATTACACAGAGTAAAACAGCAAGCATTAGAGGAGCTATTTTTTAATTTAGTTTTTTAAATGCCTCTGCACTTTGTATTGTATGATATTATACCCGTTGATTATAATTGTTAATTATACTCCATGTCACTTAGCAACACATTAGCTATTGCTGTCCAGCTTCTGTCTCCTGTCAGTGATTCATATTAAGTGGCTTATGTTCAGAATCCTTACTCTGGCTGGTGGGAGTATAATTAACAGATATTAAAATAACTCTAGTTTTAGGAAAGTTTTAAATTGCAGTATTTGTTTTCCTATTTGAATAATTACACTTCTTTCCTATAAAAAGATCTTTGAGATGCAGGCGTGTGCAATGGAAATCAATATAAGTAAGATTCTTCAAGTGGCCGAAACCCTGGAGAGCATTGTGTGTCGCTGTTTTGGTCCAGATGGCAGGCAAGTCTTATTCATTAAATCCACCAGTGAACTTTTCATTACCAAAGATGGGAGAAAAATATTGGAATGCCTTTTACTGGATCACCCCATTGCAAGGTATTTATAACCACTTTGATTAAATGTCTGTCTTAAAAAGGTTATCTAATCCAAATATAGACAACTACCAACATAGTTTCCAATTTATTATCATTATACCACTTAAAAATCTTTGCAGAAAGAGGTTAGAAGCAATTTCATAACTTTTTAATTACAGCAAAGAACACAAGTGTGAGTGGGAAAAATGTTAATTCAATTAAAAATGTGTGTGATAAGAAAATACGTTTAGTAATATCGCAAACATAAAATGAATTGGTTATTCCATAGATTAAATATATTTTATAATAATTCAAATTTAAATGACCAGTAACAATAGTTACTAAGTGATGTGATTTCTCTTTCAGAATGATTGTGAACTCAGCTTTCAACCATTTTCATATCACTGGGGATGGTGTTAAATCCTTTATTATACTGCTGTGTGGTATCCTCCGAGGGCTAACTTTTAACAAAGACCTGCTTTCATCTGGGAATACATCAGGCTGCACTAGTTATCAAAAGCAAAGACATTTATTAAAAAGAATCAGCAATTTGCTAATAACCTTTCAGAGCGAAGTCCTGGAGCACATCGTTAGCAAACACCTTACTCAACATTTTCTCTCTATTTTTTCAACCACAACAAAAAAGAGACTTTTGTGCAGAGCATCTCTGCAGTCAGTATTGGACACCTTTTTCTGTGGAAGGATTGGATATAATAATTGCACTTTTCTAAGTAGCTTAGCTTCTGATTTTTTCTGCAAATGTCTCCCCAATGATGAGTGCGCGTTTGAAGTAGTTGACCTGATTGACAGCTGTTTTTCTGAGCTCTACACAGAGATTCCAGGACTCGCGATAGATAATTCCAGGATATTACCAGGAATCGTACTGCACAGAGATTTTTCTGTGTACTGCACAGCAGAGGGAGAACTGAGAGCTTTAATTGTGTCAGAACAAATCCATCAGTCACTTTCTGCACCTGATGTAGATGCTGTTGTCTCCTCAGATACTCATCTTCAGCTTTCCCAGAGCTACTTGAGACAAAGGACTGAAAATATTATCAAACAGTTACAGGAGAACCAAATCAAGCTCATTCTTTCATGCATCAAGCAAGCAGACATTGTCCATTATTTTGCTAAACAATGTGACATTTCCATAGTAGACTGCTTACCGCCAGAAGAACTCGATCTTGTGTGCAGAATCACAGGTGTATCACCACTAAGCACACCACTTAGCAGTGACGTTGTCTTTGGACATGTGTCTGATACATTCTTAGTTACTTGTTGCCAGCCAATAGTACTCGGCTCCAGAAAATATGTCCATCTTATTTTAAACAGCTCTCTGGGCTTACAACCACACTGCATTATTGTTTGTGGGCCTGTCAAAGGCTTGACTGAGCAGTTTATATCCGCTTTCCATGGAGCTTTTAAAATGCTCAAACAATTATTTCAACCAGTGGATGGCACTTGGGAGCAGACAAGAGAAACTCTTGACCATTGTAAACCAAACCAATGTTCATCAACACTAGAACACAATATTTCTTGTAGCAAATGCCATAAAGAAACCGCTTGTTGTGACATTGCTTTACAGGGAATTCCACAAGCCATTGGTATGGACATTACAGATAGCAGTCGAGTTAGTGTCCTTGAAGACCATACTATCAAGTTAAATAATTTACCTTGTGGAGGTATAGAGGGTACATGTTTAAATGTAGACGATGAAACACTTGAAGCAAACAGTTCAACTGCTGAGTCCAAGGATCAATACAGAAAAAATCCTGTTCTATGTAAATGCTTTCACAAGAGACCAGGAGCTACTGTTTCAGTCCATTCAATGTCATTTCTAGGTGATGGCTTTGTTTTACCTGGAGGTGGTACTTTTGAGATTTTATTACACTATTATCTGCATCAATTTGCTAGAAAATGCCAGGATCGGGAGTTGGCAGAGACCTGCTCTATAGTTGGAGAATCCCTACTGTGTATCCCTAGCTATATTCACAGCTCAAGAAAAGGAAATATTAGTTTCCCTCTGTTTTACTCCCAGATTATTAGTGCCTACCAAACTAAAGAGTTGATAGAGGTACCTCAAGCAGGTCTTGAATCTGTGTCTTGTAAATATCAGTTACTGGTTTCAGTCCTTCATTGCATTAGCAAGCTTGTGACCATTGACTTCATTATTGGCACCAAACGATCTGTTGGCAATATTAGACATGAAGAATCAGATGATGATTTATAAACAACTTAAAAATAAAAGACTCTTTGAAGAAATACTGACTAGCACTAAATGTTTACAATGTATCCATCAGTTTCCATAATTAGTGTTCAAAACTAATCTCATTCTGATTATCAACACAGAAACTATTGGCAAATCATTTGTGAAGACGTGGATGGGCGAGAGCCATTCTTTGAGAGAGCAGGATGATTTACCTGCTGTTTGGTAGGCACAGTGGTTGTTGGTACTAAATGATCTGTCCACCCTGAGGTTATATCATAGTAATGTATGCTGTCTGTTGTTTATATTTCCAGCATATATTTCCGATGCTGTGTACATATTCAGTAAGGAAAAGGTGTTGCTGAATAAAGCCTGCATAGCAATGTTAGAATCATGTAGGATTATACTTAAAAAGCTGTGAAAAGGAGAGTAAAAACGTACATCATTATTCTATAGCTTTATTCTATGGCTTCGTAGGTTATTGCTGCCATTCTCTCTCTCTGCCTAGCGGGGGTAATCAAACGTCCTCGTAACATTTACTAAACACGTTCTATTAATTTCAGTGGATTGGACCACCATGAATGCTGCACTTAGTATTTTCAAGCTTATTTCAGTGTTGCACATCATGTGTTAGAAAGCCATACTGCATGGATAGTAACCCAATCTGTGCTTTTATTTCCAGCAGTTAATAGGAAATACTGCACAGATCACCTTTCTGTAGTTCAAAGATCTTAATCCCCTGGTCTGCCTGAGGTTAGTAGGAGTTACACTCCTGAGCATGAGCTACTGACATTTTAATGGTGGCAGGTGAAGTAGCTGTTGTCTAAGATTGTAAATCCCACTAATTTCATGCAACACTGGAGCAGTTATACCAAGGCTGCTCTAATAGTAAGGTCATCCATTGCTACATTACAGTAAACATTAACATTAATTCCTACACTACCCTAACACTAACCATTAACTCTGACACTACTCTGACTTCAACCATTAATTCCTAACCCACACTAACTCCAACCATTAATTCCTACACTACACTGACAATTGACCCCTACACTACACTAACTCCAACCATTAATTCCTAACCCACACTAACTCCAACCATTAATTCCTAACCCACACTAACTTCTACCATTAATTTCTACACTACACTGACCATTGACCCCTACACTACCCTAACTCCAACCATTAACCCCTACACTACCCTAACTCCAACCATTAATTCCTACCCTATCCTAACACCAACCATTAATTCCTACCCTATCCTAACACCAACCATTAATTCCTACCCTATCCTAACACCAACCATTAACCCCTACACTACCCTAACTCCAACCATTAATTCCTACTCTATCCTAACACCGGCCGTTAATTCCTACCCTATCCTAACACCGACCATTAACCCCTACACTACCCTAACTCCAACCATTAATTCCTACCCTATCCTAACAATGACCATTAACCCCATACACTACCACAACACTAACACATACCCTATCCTAAAAATATAATGTAATATGAAAGAAAAGATGAAGCATATTATGGGAAAAGGTAATGCTATCTCATGGTTGTAGAGAAGTTTATAAATCACTCAACGTTTTGTCTCATGGTTTATTCTGATGCTTCCAGAACCCCTTGATGTCATTATTTTCCCATAATATAGGCTTCCCTGTTAACTGCTGTCCATCTCTCTCATTATATTTTGTAATGCATTAAATGATGGTGTTGATTTCAACTCTAGCTTGGCATGCTCATTTAATTAATTGTTTGCAAACTTCCTTTCTGAATGATATGTCATATATTCAGTCCATTACATATTCAAAATGTAATCCATGCATGTTGGAAAAAGTTTCTAAAATGACATTTTCATTGCTGTGTAACCTAAATGCCATACATGCCAGTGGTTCCTCAATTTGGGAATAGGAATATAGACAATCCCTCCTTTGTGAATAAATTATTAAACAGTATTTCATGCTACCAAAGAGAAGGACAGAGAGTATTTGGATTAACTGTGGGATTCCTTGTAGAACTTTTTTACTTGTGCAGCCCGAGTTGTCACAGGGTTTATAGTAAATTTATAAAAAAGAAAAGCCTCATAGTCATATAATGAGTCATGCAATGGAATGAAGCAGTCACAATGTATCTTAACACGGTGATAACATGGATAAATAGCAGTTGTACACTGTCACATTGGATTTGAAATGCAGCACCAACGATGCAAACTTGGACTCATCTGTATATTCACTGGTCTCTATGTGTTTATATAGTGGTGCTACAACCTTTCCTACAGAGTATGGTGGCGTTGTAGTAGATTAGATGGTAGATATAAGGACTTAGCAGACAAATAAAGACATGTATGTACATAAATGTTAAGTAAGTTACAGCAATCCAAACATTGGACAACCAAGCATTCATGTTAGTTTGCCAAAGATGCAGCTGTGAGCTTGCACAAAGCCAACGCACGGTGTCTCTCATTTAAAAAACAAATCAACAATGACGAAGCCTGTCAAAGATAGTGGGGACTCGTATCACACATTGAACAAGGTAAGTGGCCAAAACACATTACAACAATATGCAGGAAATCAAGGACAGTGGAGTTCCTTCCACCATAAGCAAGGATCCTACTGATTGAGAGTCCCTTTAACTAAATGTAATTTAAGATTTGCCTTTTATCAATGTGTATTTTATGTTGTACATCAAGCATGTCAAACTCAAAGTGTGGCACGGGCCACATAAACAAGGTTTAAGTTTATCTGGCCCGCACACACACACTCACTGACCGACAGACACACACACATACCCACTGACAGACAGACACTCACTGACAGACACACACACAGAGACACACACACACTGACAGACACACATACTGACAGACACACATACTTGCTGACAGACACACACTCACTGACACACACAGACTGACTGACACACACACACTCAATGACAGACACACACATACTCGCTGACAGACACACACACACACAATCTCACTAACAGACACAGACATACACACACATACAAACTCACTGACAGACACACACACTTGCTGACAGACGCACAGACAGACACACATACTTGCTGACAGACACACACACACACATACTTTTCATTATTGCTCCTTACCTTATGGAGCCGATGTGGGGCATCTCCCTGGGGTCCTTCCTGCTCTCGTACGCAGCTTAGTGATGGGTGCCGGAATATGACGTCATATTCCGGCGCCCAGCTTCACTTCAGTTGGTGCGCGCGAGGGAGTAGTGAGTAGCTGGACAATTGAGCTCCCTCGCGGCTGTCCTCCCCAGCCGGGTAAATGTTAGCAGAGTAGGCACCTGCAATGTGGGGAAAGCAGGTGCCTACTCTGCTATAACACCAGCATGTATTCGCGGCTCGCCGGGCCGCAAAGATGGTCCTTGTGGGCCGCGAGTTTGACATGCTTGTTGTACATAGAGAGGGCATTTCAAAACGTGGTATTTTTTTTTTTTTTATATGGATTTCTAGTTTAGAGTAGGGTGTCTTAACTTGTTATTCGGTTTGGGAAACAGGAAGACTTAAAAGATGAATATGTCATTTTAAATACAAAATGAACTTAGGAGTTGTGAGATTTACAAGGGAAAATTTTAGCAAAATGTATCGTACTTCTGGCCTAACATTTAGAATTCTTTAGCTAATACTCACTAATTTCCTGCTTACAGAATAAATAACTTAGTATTATTTAGTATATTCAATAACAGCAATTCTATAATGCAGCAAAATACCGTATTTACTCAAATCTAATGCGTACTTTTTTGGAAAATACATTTTCCAAAATTTAAATGCGCATTATATCCAATGGCACATTACAATCGGTGGGAAAATTCAAAATTTACTGGTGAATTAAAACTGGTGAATTCAAACAGATAAATTCAAACATACGAACTAAAAGTGGTAAATTCAAACCGATGAATAGACTTAACATGTAACACTAAAATTGAAATAGCGTCAATGTTACTATGGTATATGGCAATAAACATTATCATTGTAGCACATTATGGTACAGGTGGTCCTCGTTTTGCGACCAACCTGTTTTTATGACGGCTCGCACTTACGACCAGTGGCCGTGGGGATTCCCTGCTCTGGTGCGCATGTCTATATTCGGGTAAACTTCCCTGGACATAGACAAATGCACCAAAGCAGGGAATCCCTTAACTCCTCACTTACCTACCAATTCGTTCTACGAACGGGTCGTAGGAACGGAACACGGTCGGTAAGTGAGGAGTGTCTGTATATGGCAATAAACATTATCATTGTATAGTGGTATCTTCTTGTATAAATGTGCATTACATTTGCCAGCAAAAAAACATTTTTCAGCTTCCAGGTTTCAATAATTGAGGTGCACATTAGATTCAATAGCTTATTAGATTCAACTAAATACAGCCGTATTGGCATGTAATGAGCAAAACATTGTCTTTACTAGTGCCCCACACTGGAGTAAAAGGCAACTGCAGTGTTTTACTCACTCCCATAGAGCATTCAGGCTGGTTGTGGGGGCATGGTTGCTTACATTTTTATCATTTATTTTTAGAGAGTGTAGATATCCATCTGTATTTGGAATGAACAATTACTCAAATGTAATAATAATAATTTCTCTTTATCCCTTTTAGTTCCAGGTTATAGAAATCCCTTGTTATCCTATCAGCCCTAATAGCTTTGGTCCTGATGGGGTTAAGTTAGATGATTGGCTTTTTTTTTTGTGTTTTTTTTTTGCAGGCGCTTAGCATATTGGGCTGCTGCAAGGAGTAACCAAAAGGATTAAAATAGTGCTAGCACTTGCAGTAATTTCTGAGGTTTGAGTTTAACTGTTCAGTATAAAGCACGGTTAGTAGACAATACAAACAATCCTGCTAGAGGCAGTGCTGGCTCAGCAGCACATTTATCTCACATGAAATCACAAGCAAATAAAAAAAAACTGCAGCAACCAGCCTCTTATTCAGCATAGGATTAAGGAGACACCACTAATAGTGCTGCCTATGTGACTCCACACTAAGCTTGCTCAGTAGTTCTCAGCGATAAAGCCTGCCATTTCTAAGATGTCACGTAGAATGTGTGCAAGTTAAGGCCTGAGACGCGGGCTTTGTGAGAGCTGCATTTGGCTTTGTGGATGTAGAAATCTGAGCAATGTGTACAGAACAAGGCTGCACTATGTATAGGATTGGCCTGATCCTGTGCCTCCCTTACTGTAAAACACCAGCGTGTTTGTCCATGACATGGTTCAAAGTACCATTCCTTCCATAACATTCTTACCTTAACGCAATAGAAATCGGGATATCCTGCAACATTTCCATATTTTTATTTTAATGCAGAATAAGATGTGCAAATCCAACACTCTGCAAACATACTTAGTAGAAGTAACATTGCATGCTTATACAGAATACCATAAACACTATTTAAAGGACACTATAGTCATCAAAACTACTTTAGCTTATTGAAGCAGTGTTTGTGTATAGATCATGCCCCTGCAATCTCACTGCTCAATCCCTTGCCATTTCAAAGTTAAATCACTTTTATTTCTGTTTATGCAGCCCTAGCCACACCTCCCCTGACTGTGGCTGACACAGCCTGCATGAAAAATTGTTTCATTTTCAATCAGATGTTAACTTTCACTAGATGTTTTCTAATCTGCTCTTTAAATTGAACTTCAATCACACACAGGATCCTTCAAGGTCTAGCAAGCTATTAACAGTCCAAGAGAAAATTAATTTATAAATAAAACAGACTGTGCAATGAAGGAAGTTTAAACATCAGATTACACTTTACAGGAAGTGTTGAGGAAGGCTGTTTAAGTAACATGCAGGGAGGTGTGGCTGACACGGCATAAACAAAGTGTAAAATGTAACTCTTAAATGGCACGTAATTGAACAGTAAGACTGGAAGGGCATAATCTATACACCATAATTGCTTTGGTGTCTATAGTGTCCCGATAGAATAAAATATTGCAATAAGCATATCTATTCTGTATCTGAATTTAGAACAAACTTCACGTTTTCAAAAAAATGTTACTTGGTCTCTTCTGCAATGAGGAGCTTAAGGAACATAAAGTCACATTGACATCACAGCTATGATGTTTTGTTACTAGTGATCTTGTTCTCTAATCAGCTCAGCTTGGTTTCTGATTGGCTGTTAACAGCATGTTTTCATTAACTTTCTTTCTTTTCTTTTTTTATAGCTGTTTATAATTTGTGATGGAATCCAAAATGGCAACCTATACTCTAAAACTTTGCCAGTTGTGTGTAATAGCCCTAGACTTCTTAAGATTTACACCTAATTAAGATTTATATTGTTTTAAGCTAATTTATGTACGTAATATTTAAGGTGAAATAGTAAAATTAATATATTTGATATTTTCGAGAAAAACTTGCCAAAACACTGACATAGATAGGGAAATGTTTTTGCACAATACTGGTATATGAACAATTACTTCAATGGTAATTTTGATAATACACCTCTTAAATTTTTTATTTTTTTTTAAATATATATATATATTTCCTGATTACGG